CCGATAGACAGACTAAGAGTCCTCCTAGTAGGTTATCAGCTCATGGGAAGGTGTTGGTGCACTCCACTTGCTCCGGAGTTGCCTATTTGGTCAGTATGATTTAGACATATATTGATTAGTATGGCGGGGCCCCGCCCCGACCTTTATGATATTTATGTACTCTTAGAGGCTTGTAAATAGATGTCATGTATAAGGATACTTGTATGGCCTTGTCGGCCTATGTTTGAGTATATAAATGATCATGTCGGCCTTATAGACCCGCATGTCACATGTATAAGTTTCTATAATGTGTTGGGTCGTCCGATATCTAGTATTCTCTTTTGTTTTATTCTGGTTATCTTATGACGTCCCTTCTGGACCATTTACCCATGATGGTATGATAAGAAAGATATGCTACATTGGTACTCGGTTGAGTAAGGCACCGGGTGCCCGTCGCGGCCCTGCGGTTTGGGTCGTGACATAGCCGTCCGAGAGTGACATAGTGCATGGGTGATTCCCTATATTTTAAATCACGACTAACATCAAGGCGTTAGGCTCAGCCATTAGCCTGAAGTAATATAGCGCATGGGTCCCATGCACTATATTGTGTTTTTTCTTTTTCTTTTCTGCAGTATTTTTGTTCTTTAAGTTCAATTTTGCGTATTTTGGTTTTGGACATAGCTAATATATGGTTTTTTAAATGCTGACAAAACTCTAATAGTAGAGGTTAAAAATATTTATTTTTTAATTTTTCCCCTAGTGACTTGTCTAATAACATTCATTGAGTTTGTGGATTTTGGAATAGCCCTTTCATCTGGCCAAGAAAATGGCCCTTTAATATTTTTAATATAGGAGAAAATGGTGCTTCATCCGTAAGAGTTTTGCTTCTTTAAAAAAGATGAAAGGCACTGAAAGTGTCTCTAACATATACCAAAACGGTACTATTTAAAATCATCTATCAATAGCTAGTTGAAATACGATCCCGTCCTGTCTTATAAAATTTTATTTAGTGAATCCAATCCATCTAAAAGTAACTTTTAAACCACACTGAATGCTTCTGTTATTTCAAAAGGCTTCAATAGTTTATACATATATTTTAAAAAATATTTAATCTTATTTGCGCGGTATAATTTTAGAAAGAGGGGAATTCAACAGAATCTCGACCTTTATTACATATTTACATGTAACTCCGTCACTGTCTCAAAGGTATACATGTGTAACACGGCCTAGATTGCCTTAGGCTAGAATTTCCAATTCCCAACTCAACTATGCCAAATATCCCATTATCACTTAGATAATATGACACCCCTTGCATGTGACCTTTCTCCGAACCCTACATGAATGCGGGATATCTTGTGCATCGGGCTGTCCTCATTTACTTAGATGATATGTGTTGAGTATAGTGGGTCCCAACTATTTATTAGTTAGGAGTAATTAGTTATAACTACCTAAAGTTAGTTAGTCGATATAATATAAATAGAGTAGTTAGTTGATAGTGCTGTACAACTGTTCATTGCTCTTGTTCATTATCTAATAACAAAGCTTGCTTTCTTCTTATTTCTTCTTCTTCCAGAATCTTCAAGTTCTACCATGGCTGAAGCTCCTTAACATAGTATCAGAGCTTGGTGCTCGATTTCCTCAAGCTCAGCTGTGAGAGAACTTGAATAATCCAACTGTATCAAAGCATCAACCTTTCATCGATTTGATCGAGCTATTTCTCAATACAGAAATCTCTCCGCTCAACCTAGGGTTTGGAAATTTGTGATTTTCTAGTTGAATCGCGATCAGATCGTGTCTAAATTTGATAAAATTATAAAGATCAATAAAGAGGTAGTTGGTTCTCATGTTTCTTCTTCAATGTCCACACCTACTATAGAACTTGTCGACCACAATCACACTCTCTACATTCATCCTTTCGATACTCAAGGTTTTGTGCTCATTTCTATTCAACTTCAAGGTTCAGAAAAGTATTCTATTTGGAGTAGATCTATGAAAATCGTATTGCATGGTAAAAATAAATTAGGATTTTTCCTAGTCACTTATAGAAAAAACAGATATGATTCTAGTTTGCATGAATTGTGGGATAGATGCAATGCTATTGTACTTGCTTGGATAATGAACATAGTTTCACCAAGTTTAATTAGTTTAGTGATCTATGCTTTCGATGCATGGGAGGATCTTAAGGAAAGATTTGATAAAGATAATGCATCTAGGGCTTGCTATTTGCATAAGAAAATTACCACATTAACTCAAGGCATATCCTTTGTATCTGTGTATTACACTAAACTGAGAGAGTGTGGGACGAATATGAAATCTTAATTCCACCACCTACTTGTGGTTATGCTGAATCAAGGAAATATGTAGAACACTATCAGATATAGAAATTGTATCATTTCCTTACATGGCTAAATGAATCTTATGAGAATGCAAAGAATCAGGTCCTCATGACTCGACCCTTGCCTAATTTGAACCAAACTTATGCTATGATAGTTAATATGGAGAGTTAGAGAATTAATGGAAAAGGTGTATATTCTGAGAGTAATGAAGCTGCTATGATGAGCAACAAGGTGTATATTGGAACTTACAATGGTGGATGACAGACTAACAATAACTCTAATGGAGGTTATACTAGAGGTTAGGTGGAAGATAGACTAATACTAATTCTAATGGAGGTTATAGACCTAGAAACTCCTTTGGTAAAGCTGCAGTTTGGTGTGACTACTGCAAATATAAGGGTCACACTAGAGAGAACCGTTTTAAGCTTCATGGCTATCCTTTTGACTTTAAGAACAAGAGAAAAGGAGGGGCACAAAATGCTCAGGCTAACAGTGTGGCAACTTCTAGTGTTCCAACTTCATAGTCACAAGGTCAAGGACATTAGACACCAACTTCTCTAGTTCACTTCTTTACTCAAGAGCAGTACCAGCAGATTCTACATCTACTGAATATGGACAAGGAGGCTGAACATGTTGCCAATGTTGTCACTGCAGCGACAACAGGTAGTATACATGCATTTATGACAAGCTTGATGCATAGTAACTAGATTATAGACACAGGAGCAACAAACCATTTAGTTCATAGTTTTCACCTGCTAGAGAACTATGATGAAATACCAGAAAATGTTAGGAGCAAAGTTCATTTACCACCTAGAGAACATGTGTCTATTAATTATACTGGTATTTGTTCTTTTTTCAAGGATAAGAAAGTTCAGAACATTTTCCACATTCCAAAGTTTAAATATAATCTCCTCTCAGGGTCTAAACTCACAAAGGAGTTGCAATGTCTAGCAACGTTTTACCCTAATTTCTGTGTCTTTCAGGAGCTCTCAAGTGGGAAGGTGTTGGGGATTGGTAAGGAAGATCTAAGTGTGTACATTCTCAAGGCAGATGATAGAGCAATACTCAATCACCAAGGCACTCATTCTTCTTCAATTATACATACCATTCCATGTGACACCAATAAATGTAGTAATCAAGCAAACAATAAGACTTGTGCTATATCTTCTTTTTGGCATCAAAGATTATGTCATGATCCTTTAAAAGTCTTGAGATCAGTAGATGTTTTGCATAGTATGCAACTAAGGGAACATCATTGTAATGTATGTCCATTAGCTAAGCAATCAAGACTACCTTTTCCTACTAGCTCTTCTCGTTCTAAATCTATCTTTGACATTGTGCATGGTTATGTCTGGGGTCCCTATAGGGTGCCTATGCATAATGGCAAGAAGTATTTTTTGACCTTCGTAGATGATTATTCCATATATACCTGACTATTTCTATTACATCCTAAATCAGATACTGTTGAGGTGATTAAAAACTTTACAGTAATGGCCTCAACACAGTTTGATCATAGACTCAAGTGCCTAAGAACAGACAATGGCACATATTTCATTAATGATCAGATGCAGACCTTGTTGAAGACTCAATATATAGTACATTAAAGTTCTTATACATATACCCCTCAACAGAATGGGGTTGTTGAGAGAAAACACAGGTCTATCCTAGACATGGCTAGAGCACTCAGATTTCAAGCTTTCCTGCCCCTCAAATTCGGGGGAGAATGTGTCTCTACTACAGTCTACCTTCTAAATTGATTGCCTACTGTACTACTACAAGGAAATGATCCCTTTGAGAAGTTATTTCAAAGGAGTCCCTCATTACACCATCTGAGAGTGTTTGACAGCCTTTGTTATGCCACTATTGTGAAGAAAGGGGATAAGTTTTGCCCCAGAGCAATTCTAGCCGTTCATATGGGCTATTCCTCCTCTCAGAAGGGTTACATTCTTTATGATTTGTGCTCCAAAAGGTTCTTTATTAGCAGGGACACTGTGTTCAAAAAAGAAGTGTTCCCCTTCAAGAATATGTATTCTGGTGCTTCTCCCTTATTTCCTGTGTTGGAGTTTGTAAAACAACCTGCACAAAAAATTGCTTCATTTGATGATTTTGCCTTCCCTGCAGCCTCTCCTAGCCAGAACTATATTGATGCAGTTGAGACCTCTCCTCCTGCTATCTCAGTTCCTCCAGATCATGGTTAGTCTAATTTATCCTCACCAATTTCTCCTCATACCTCAATCTGTGAACCATCTTCTCCCTCTATAACACTCAGGAAGTCCTCTAGAACTACCAAACCACCTGTGTGGCTAGAAGATTATGTTGTTCCATCAAAGAAGTCTACATATCAAATGTCAAACTATGTGACTTATGATTAGTTGTCCTCTGCTTACAAAGCTTCCCTTGCTGCATTCTCAGCTATTATAGAACCCAAATCCTTCTCAGAAGCCAGTAGGGATCCCAAGTGGGTTGAGGCTATGCAAGCTGAAATCACAGCTCTTGAAGAAAACAACACCTAGTCTATTATTTCTCTTCCTCCTGGCAAGGTTCCTATAGGTTGCAAGTGAGTGTTTAAAATCAAATACAAGTCATCTAGTGAAGTGGAGAGATACAAGGCTAGGCTGGTGGCCAAGGGTTACAATCAACAAGAAGGGTTGGATTACATAGAAACCTTCTCCTCCAGTAGATAAAATGGTTACTATGAGGGTTGTAGTTGCATTAGCTGCTGCTTCAGGATGGTATGCATTCCAGATGGATGTTCACCATGCTTTTCTTCAAGGAGATATTCTTGAAGAGGTGTATATGCAGGTTCCTGATGGCTTTTCAAGCTAGGGGGAGTGTCAACATATGTGCGGACTACATAAGTCACTATATGGATTAAAATAGGCACCCAGGTAGTGGAACCTGAAACTAACTGAAGCTCTTGTAGATATGGATTTGCTCAAAGTCATATGACTATTCTTTGTTTATTCAGAAATAAATTCAGAGTTAGTAGTCATTCTAGTCTGTGTGGATGACCTTCTAGTAACTGAAAGCAGTCAAAGACTGATCAAACAAGTCAGAAAGGATTTGCAGGAGAGATTCAAGATGAAAGATCTTGGTGAACTTAAATACTTTCTAGGGATTGAGTTCTCTAGATCTCATAATGGATAGTTTTGTGTCAAAGGAAGTATGCTCTAGAACTAGTATCTGAACTAGGACTAGCAGGTGCAAAGCCAGCAGCAACACCTCTGGAGTTCAATCATAAGCTCACATCCGTTGAGTTTGACAAGCAAATACCAAATGGTAGTTTTACAATTGATGAGGAGCTTGAAGACAAGGGAGGTTATTAGAGACTAGTTGGAAGATTGCTGTATTTAACCATGACAAGGCCTGACATTGCCTTTGTAGTTCAAGTGCTTAGTCAGTATATGTATGCACCTAAGGTGTCTCACATGGAAGCTGCCCAAAGAGTGATGAGGTATATCAAAACTGCTCATGGATTTGAACTTTTTATGCCTGCAAAAGTAAGCAAGTCTCTGTCTGCATATTGTGATTCTGATTGGGGAGCTTGTGTAGAGTCAAGGAGATCAATGACAGGCTATGCAGTTAAATTTGGTGAAGCACCGATATCATGGAAGTAAAAAAAAATAGGGAACTATGTCTAGGAACTCTGCCGAGGCTAGATTTTGAAGTATGGCCTCTACTGTAGCAGAAGTGGTGTGGATAACAGGATTCTTTAAGAAGCTGGGAACTGAACTAGTGCAGCCTATACAATTGCATTGTGATAGCAAAGCTGCTATACAAATTGCAGCTCATCCTATCTTTCATGAGCGAACCAAACACATTGACATTAATTGTCATTTTGTGAGAGAAAAGATTGTTCAAGCTCTGATTAAAACTCAACACATCAGAACAATTGAGTAGCTAACAAATTTGTTGACTAAGAGTCTATGCAAGCCACAACATGAATACTTATTAGGCAAGATGGGAATGAAAGATGTATTTCATCCCTCAATTTGAGGGGGAGTGTTGAGTATAGTGGGTCCCAACTATTTATTAGTTAGGAGTAATTAGTTATAACTACATAAAGCTAGTTAGTCAATATAGTATAAAAAGTTAGTTGATAATGTTGTACAACTGTTCATTGCTCTTGTTCCTTAGCTAATAATAGAGCTTTCTTTCTTCTCATTTCTTCTTCTAGAATCTTCAAGTTCTGCTATGGCTGAAGCTCCTTAACAATATGAAATTAATTAATAGGGAATATATATGGTAGACATTCTTTTGCATGAGCCCCACATCTATAATCTGTGACTATCAGTGAGCATTAATATTGACATATATACATTAAATTTGGTCATTAATTCCAGGAAACTCTACACACTTGAATGAGCCAAAACCTCAATATATATAATAAAAATAAACAGATGAACTTAGTTTTTTCAAGGTTGGAAAAGCTTATTTGCACATTTACATCTCCATGCAAGAAGATAATAAGTGCCATCTTCTTTAGAGGAAGAAATGGTAACTTTCTTGACTTGATGACCAGGAGCTATTAATGTAGCAACACAAGGCCTGCAATTCGAGCATTTTCCTTCACACCTTGGTGGCCTTGATCCTACCTTCATTCCTCTTGTCTCCTTTCCCGGCCAGTTTGAAACATTTCCACCATCTGTAATCACTACAAGATTATTACTAAGTTACCTATCCAGCTAAAAACAGTAACTACAATAAGAATCATACGGCTAGAGGCGGAATCAGAATTTATGAGTTTTGAACTTGTCACTGGGTATGCTCTAGTTCTGCTCCTAATCATGCTTAGTTTTGAAGTTCATTAAGAGTTTGACTTTTATACACTTGATAGTGAAATTTGTTTTTACATAATCAGGTCATCTAAATAAGTGTCACAACGAGGAATTAGTAACCTGAATATAAGACAAGTACCATGCTATAACATGTTAAACTACAATGACATAACTATCAGTGTATATTACTGTACAGCCTTCCATTGTTTATCCATTCTTTCAAATTTAATCAGTTGAAAACCACCAAGAAATTCTTCTTCCTCCCCTTTTCAAACCAGCTCTCCTTTTACGTTCATTGTGATACTTTTTCCATCTTGTTTGCTTTTCTACTTAATTATATTCTCACTTTGAGCATTTAAGACAGTAACTTAACAGCCTGTTGACTTTTTCTTCTCCTTTACCTTTACTTCAAAGAGATCATAAACCAAAGAAGAAGAAGAAGAACAAGATCAAGAAATGAGATCTTCTAACTTATTGCTTTTCCTTTTACCCTTTACTTCATAGATAAAAATTAGTAGAAGAAAACATGTTACTTATTTCTTGTTAAAGAAAACTTTTTCTGAGATGTATGTGTTTATATGAGGTGTGTAAAAAGCTTAAGTAAATAGAAGTGATATTTTACTACATGGTAACACTGACCTGTAACATGAGGATAACATAAAAGAGCAAAAATGAATACAACTTTCAGCTCATGATAATGCTTATTGAATGAGGCCATATTGATGATCATTAATCAGCAGCATAAGTCTTCAACTTCTATAATAACTTCCTACAGGGAGCATATATAAAACTGTCCTACTACCTTTATTATTTTTTTTTTTGTTTTCTGCAGCCTATTGAATGTAGTAGTCTCCTTTAAATAAAGAGGAAGAAGAAAAAGAAAATCAAATGATGACCCTTTAATTAGTTGCCTCAATAAGAATATTGATAAATTTGAACATGTGGGGAAGTAGGTGCAGAAAGGAACATGGTATGGTGTCTGGTGATGAATTTACTCAGCTGAATTAATAGTGACACATCTCTGTATGACATGATACTGGTTGGTTGTTCAGAAATTAATGTCCTTCTTCTCTTTATCTGTGCTTAGAAGGATTTAAAAAGGTGAAAAACAAAAAAAAGAAGTGTACGTAGAGTGAGAATTGGTATATTGTGTTAAATGAATTACAAAGTGTTTTGATTCTGAGGACTGACTAGTAGTACAGTCAACTCAACCTTATCTCAGGCATGTCAAAGTAAAAGAAAGGACTTTAATTTGTTTTATCCTTCATTATCCTGATGCAATAATGAATTAGGACTTATCTTTAGCAGTACTAGCTTGTACTATTACTTACAAGCTGATTGAGAAACATGGTAAATTGTCAAGTGTCTCCTCCAAATGACCACAGATTAGTTGAGTCCAGTAGCAAAGTGTGGTTCTTTTGGACATAAAAGACTGAAATAGGTGGGGAAAAAAATCGGTAATCTTATATATAACGCCATTCTAAAGGGCGCTATACTTTAACGTCCATTTTGTCCGTTAAGGCATAGCATTGTAAATAACCGCACTATACCCAGTGTTTGCATTCTAAAGATATGCGCTATATATCTATACGGTCAAGCCTCTTTCATTTAGTGTTCATTGTCATTATTTCTTTTCAATTTCCTTCTCATCTTTTATCCTTCTCTTTCTTTTTAATTTCCTTCTATATTTTCATTAGTTCTTTTCTCTCTACTTTGAAAATTACATTTTCTAAAAATATTTTTCAAACAAATACTTTTGATGATAAATAATTCGTGCTAATTAATTTAAAATAACTTTTGAGCAGTAATTAGTATTTGACCTAGTTTTTAAAAGTTATTTCTAAGTGTATTTTTTTTAAAATAATTTTCAAAAATGTATATTTGGGAAGAAACTACTTTTTTTTACTTATCAAAAATTTCTTCTGCTTCTACTCAAAAGTATTTTTTTTGTTCCTTCTAACAGCTTGTTTGGATGGTTGTTACATATCATTTCATAATGCATTGTATTATATTATATTGTGTTGTATTGTATCATTTGATAAAAATAATGTTTGAATAGATAGTATCGTATGCCGTTGTTTCATGATATCACGCACCAATAATATGAAGAATAAATTTGTAATATTATAAAGAAAAATTATGATACGGGGTAAAATTATTATAGAAAAAGATAGATTATATGATAAAATAGAATTATTTAATAATAATGAAGGATAAACTAAGAGAAAAGACAAGGTAACAACGTGACCACATCAAATCGATCATTACATAATAACAAATTTAACGATACAATAAAATTTAATTAATAATCAAAATAAACATCGTATTTAAAGTATAATACGATACAATACAATAGACAGCAACCATCCAAACAAACTGTAAAAGTTTGATCAAATATCTTAACTTAAAAAAAATTAATTTTTGAGGAAAAACGAGAAATTTTGCCAAACAGGCTAAAAGAGCAAAAGTGATCAATGTTTTCAACCAAGAATGCATTTTTGAACCCAAGGTCGAACGTAGAGCAAATGTACTCCGTCTTCAAAAGTGTAAAATTAAATTTTGACTTTTTTAATCAATATCAATGTTTTCTATTTCTATAATTATTTACAAAGATTTATTCTGAATAACTGGAATGATTCAAAAGCAAGAGAAGGATAAAAGGTAAGAAGGAAATTGAAAAGAAATAATGAAAATGAACACTGAATGGAAGAGGCTTGACCGTATAGATGTATAGTGCATATCTTTAACGCGCTATGCATTAAAATGCAAACACTGGGTATAGCGCGATTATTTACAGCGCTATGCCTTAACGGACAAAAAGGACGTTAAAGTATAGCGCCCTTTAAAAGGGCGTTATATATAGAAAGGTTACCAATTTTTTTCCGACCTATTTCGGTCTCTTTTGTCCAAAAGAACCACACTTTGGTTCGGGATTGTAGTGTGGGAGGGTGGGATATCAATCCCCGGATAACTAATCCCAAGAAAATTAATCCGAGGATAAATTATTTCACAACCAAACGACTCCTAAGTGTTCCACATTGGCCGAGAAAAAGAACTATTGTCTCTTCATATGATATTAGGCAATTCTCATCCATGAATTAGTTTTTGAGGTTGAATTAGGTCAAAGATCCATGTTGTTAACATATACTATATCACCAATAATGATAGTCAGTTCTTTCCATATCAAAGGGAACCTTGGAACAATGGTTAAGTTGACTCCATGTGACCGCGGGTTTGAGCCACCGATATCAGCCATTGGCATTTGCATCAGGCAGGGTAGATACCTATATTACACCTCCTTGGGGTGCCGCCCTTTCTTGGACACTGCGTGAATACAGGATACTTTACGCACATTTTTTCCTTTCCGTATCAACAAGTAACATATCCAGAACTACTAATGGCACGTCTATGTTCCTATAAACAGAGCAAATTCACTAAAAAAAAGGGGGAAGCTTAGTATACAAAGCATTTTGTATTCACGTAGGGTCCAGGGGAAGGGCCGCACTTCAAGAGGTGTGATGCAGACAACAAACCCTAATGCACGTATTAGTGGATACTTCCACGGCTCGAACCCGTAACTTATAGGTCACATGAAAACTCACTCCAAGGCTCACCTTCAAAAAGAGCAGATTCACTGTGCAGTTTTTTAAAACCAAAGAAAGAGTTAGGACAACACTTAGGTTTTTTTCCTCATTAACTCAAGAATTGCCTGATGGGCAAAAAGGTGGCTTCTTTGGAGAGAAGAATAGATTGGAGAAAAGAATAGTTTGGAGAAAACTTGAGTGAACTCTTTAATTTGTGGTATTTTTGATAGGAGAATTTAATGCTAAAGGTTGCCTATTTCCCAGAACTTCCCATATTAAGAATCCAAATGTAAAAACAGTAAAAACGAGTTCCTACTCCCTAGGAATCAGATTTTAAAGAAGACACTTCCAAAAGACAATACCAACAAATTCTACAGTAACTACCTTTTGTACTTTAGAACCATGTGATCATGTTTGTCCCTAGCTACTCACCCCCTCCCTTAGCCTCCTTCTCCTCTCCCCTATTCTTGTGTTACAGATTTGGAACTCTGCACACTATTTTCTGAGATTACAACTCGGGTTATTTCCTCCTTTAGTTGGTTAACCTAATTATGCTTCCATTTATGAATTGGTCCACATAGACCAGAAAAATAGACATAAGAGTGAGCATGTGACAAGGATTTTTTTTAAAAAATCATCCGTTGGTCCAATTAATTCTAATTTGTGTTGTATGTGGCACGTTGAAAAAGAAATCGCTCCCTATCATGATATTTATCATTTTCTAGACTCTAATCTAATACGGAGTATATCTAATTAGAGGTGAATAAATTTTATATATTCCACCAAATTCTGGTTGTGACAAAAGAGAGTACTTTCTTCTGCCACTTCTTTTTTGTTTTCAAATTGAAGAGTTAAAAGAAAATGAGTTATTATAGCATTTGTGTATGACAAAGTTGGACCTTAGAATTGTGCTGCTCACCAACCAATATTTAATGCAAAGGTTATTGACCTTATGAATTATTCAGCTCTATGGAATGTAGATGGGTCAATGAAATATGAGCTAGGACCTAGGCCTATGCTTGTTGCCCCTAGACTTTATGACCTTGTCTTTGAGGATTTGTAGGCTCTTAAATATTTATTGATTGGCCTACCAGAAAATCTAGAACATTTTACTTTCCTTGTGTGAGTTTGGTTGATTTTAATTCTCGATAAAAGAGGAGAGTTAAGGTGTCTGCTTGTGTGTTTGTTTACATTGCCGACCCCAAGCCTAGATAAAGTTTAATACTTCCTCCACTTTAATTTGTTTGGAACTGAGGCCTAGCTATTATTGTTATTTTATATTTAAAAGTTTAATATTTCCTCCATTCATTTTTATTTGTCTTGTTTCACTTTTCGAGTGTTAATTTGCCTAATATTTGAAATTAAATTGGATTAGATTTTCTTAATATTTTAAAATTAAACTTAAATATTTGAAAACTATACGAAAAGTATTATAATTTGTAATTTGGCTCATATCAATATGCTGCAATATACATATTAAAACATTGGTTAAAATTTATATAGTTTGACTCTCGAAAAATAAAAAATGACAAGTAAAACTGAATGGAGAGAGTACAAAATAGGATTCTAAGCGGTAAAAGTGACAGACTAAAAATACAGACTAACAATATTGTACTTGTCAGCAAGTGTAATTTTGAATGTACATTTTGGTGCATATCACATAACTTTAAAAAGTTTTTGAACCTTCTACAAAGAGTCCGGAATTAAAGTGTAGCTTTTTGGACTCAAAGCACAATAATAGATGAAAAAAAATTTGTGACCATTTTATGTATAGCGCATGGATGGGATGCGTTATATCTTAACGGTATTTTTGTCCGTTAAGATATAACGCATGACATCCATGCGCAATACTTATTAATTGATTGACCCACAATAATTGGTGGGTATAGCACATAGCTTTACTGCGTTATATATGTAGCGTGTTTAATTAGTGTGCTACACCCTCCAATTATTGTACCCCACACCATTTTTTTTGCTTATTTAAGGAGCTTCATTCTTTCTTAAAAAATTCAGTCTTTTGCATCCTTTTTATTTTCTTTTACTCATTCCGAAATATTTGTTTACTTAACTTTTTATGCATTTTGCCATAATGTCTGAAGAGCAAAAAATTAAAGTTGCATTATATTGGAGAGTGAGGCTGTCGTGGAGAATAACTCAATACACTATAGTTGTTCTCCACAGTGTATTGTTAAGTTACCACTTACATTGGAGTATGATAGATTGGTAAAAGAATGAGTGTGAGAAAATATTTGGTTAATATTAAAGTAACCAAAAGATATCCACATTCTCTTACTCTGCAAGGGGTTGCTTGTTATGCTGAATTTAATATTGAAGACGATATATCATGACCCAGAATTCCTACCTTCGGGACCGTGATGGCGTCTAATATTTCACTTGCTAGGCAAGCCAGAGTTAGAGGATCTTTCAGCCAATTTTAATCAATTTAAATCAGTAGAACCAATTAAACAAA